TTAGTGTTTATGGGATTTTTAACCGGGGAGTTCCGGAGCACCAGTCAGACAGTCTCAGATTTACCACCTCAGCAGCCATCGTTACGAGGTGAGTTTCCTTCCAGTAGGAACGGGTCTACGGCCACAATGCCGGCCCGTTTAGTTAGCAGTAGTTCCAGACTTTGGTCTGATGTAGTAGTTCAGTGTGCTTGATGTCTTTGTGATTCAAGTATGTCTTTGTGTTATGTGTTCCGGACTTCGGTCCGATGCAGTATGCAATATCTGTGTTTATGCTAGTAGTTATGATTATTCTATGTTATGTTCAGTCAGTTCCGGACTTCGGTCCGATGTAGAGGGCAAGGCCCTGGTTAGTTCCGGACTTCAGTCCGATGCAGTTTCCGGACTTCGGTCCGATGCAGAGGGCAAGGCCCTGGTTAGTTCCGGACTTCGGTCCGATGCAGTTTCCGAACTTCGGTCCGATGCAGAGGGCAAGGCCCTGGTTAGTTCCGGACTTCAGTCCGATGCAGTTTCCGAACTTCGGTCCGATGCAGAGGGCAAGGCCCTGGTTAGTTCCGGACTTCGGTCCGATGCAGTTTCCGGACCTCGGTCCGATGTAGTGGGCAAGGCCCAGTAGTTGCTTTATATGTTATTATATGGTATGTGGTAGTTTGGGGGAGATCACTAAGCTTTGTGCTTATAGTTTCAGTTTTTGGTTTCAGGTACTTCCGCTAGTAAGGGGAAGAGCTCGGGATGATGGCATGGCACACACCACAGCTTCAGTTTGTCCTGGGAGTTTTATTCGGATATTTTGATATGTTTTGACATCAGTTGATTTGATAAATTTATTATGACATTTTGAGACGCATGATCCATGGATTTATCTTTTAATATTTGATATTATGGTTTAGTAGAGTTTTCAAACAAAAATTTTTGGGTTGTATTTTTGGGATGTTTCAATGTCATAAGAAAATGAAAAGAAAACATTTCAATAGGCACAATTATTTTATAACGTATTAGCAGTGATGGAGTCCCTAAGTGCTCTACAAGTCAAGGTTGTGGATGAATATATCATTTTTTACTCATAGTTTGATCGTGTTATATTTTTTTTCCAGTAGCGATGTGCAATTCGAGTTGTGGTTTGCAATTTTCAAAGTTACATGTGAGTACATCATCATTAGCCTATTTGTTTTTATCTCTTCATTTTTGTTATGAATATTTCAATACGTTTTGTTTTTTCTTAGATTTTTGTTTCTTTTTATATTTACATTTGTATATGTATAAAAGGTTGTTTGAACCACATATTGTAATTGATTAAAGCAATACATTTTAAGTATATTGATATGCTTCATAATTTGTATCATAAAAGCTTAATTTCAAGTCCATCGTTATAGCAAGTTGTATAAATCTTATATGAAGTGGCATAAAATGAGAAGTTTACAAGCTTAACAAAGTTTCTTTCATAATTAGTTTAATGTTATTAATAATTTTTTATTGTATGACTTAAAAGGCAGCAAACATGCCATAATGAGTTTTTATATCAACTTTGTATAAATATAATTATTTCAAAATTAATAATAGCGATATGATTATTTTAATAGTGTGTATGTATGTGTATCTCTGTGTGTGTGTATGTGTATGTGTGTGTATATATATATATATATATATATATATATATATATATATATATATATATATATATATATATATATATATTCTGCGCAACGCGGGAAATTTACTTAAATCAAATTCATTTGAAATTTTCACAACAAAAGAGTTTTCTAATTTGTGTATACTTATGATTTCAAATATAAAGTTTTTAATCACTACAACTCAAAAGTTTTTGTAACTGATGATATATGGTCCATTAGCATGGCCCAGACGGCTCTAGCGCGCCAGCCTGGCCTGGCGCGCTCCTGCCAACCTTGCCGGGGACTCCCTTGCCAGCCTCGCTGGGGACTCTCCTGTTGGTTTATACGACTTAGTCCAGTCCGATGTCATTGGCCGCGTACCAATAACACCAGACTGGGGGGGACTTGATGATATATGGTCCATTGGCATGGCCTAGACTGCTCTAGCGCGCCAGCCTGGCCTGGCGCGCTCCTGCCAGCTCTGCCTGGCGTTCTCCTGCCAGCCCTGCCTGGCGTTCCCTTGCCAGCCTTGCTGGGGACTCCCTTGCCAGCCCTGCTGGGGACATCATCATTAGCCTATTTGTTTTTATCTCTTCATTTTTGTTATGAATATTTCAATACGTTTTGTTTTTTCTTAGATTTTTGTTTCTTTTTATATTTACATTTGTATATGTATAAAAGGTTGTTTGAACCACATATTGTAATTGATTAAAGCAATACATTTTAAGTATATTGATATGCTTCATAATTTGTATCATAAAAGCTTAATTTCAAGTCCATCGTTATAGCAAGTTGTATAAATCTTATATGAAGTGGCATAAAATGAGAAGTTTACAAGCTTAACAAAGTTTCTTTCATAATTAGTTTAATGTTATTAATAATTTTTTATTGTATGACTTAAAAGGCAGCAAACATGCCATAATGAGTTTTTATATCAACTTTGTATAAATATAATTATTTCAAAATTAATAATAGCGATATGATTATTTTAATAGTGTGTATGTATGTGTATCTCTGTGTGTGTGTATGTGTATGTGTATATATATATATATATATATATATATATATATTCTGCGCAACGCGGGAAATTTACTTAAATCAAATTCATTTGAAATTTTCACAACAAAAGAGTTTTCTAATTTGTGTATACTTATGATTTCAAATATAAAGTTTTTAATCACTACAACTCAAAAGTTTTTGTAACTGATGATATATGGTCCATTAGCATGGCCCAGACGGCTCTAGCGCGCCAGCCTGGCCTGGCACGCTCCTGCCAACCTTGCCGGGGACTCCCTTGCCAGCTTCGCTGGGGACTCTCCTGTTGGTTTATACGACTTAGTCCAGTCCGATGTCATTGGCCGCGTACCAATAACACCAGACTGGGGGGGACTTGATGATATATGGTCCATTGGCATGGCCTAGACTGCTCTAGCGCGCCAGCCTGGCCTGGCGCGCTCCTGCCAGCTCTGCCTGGCGTTCTCCTGCCAGCCCTGCCTGGCGTTCCCTTGCCAGCCTTGCTGGGGACTCCCTTGCCAGCCCTGCTGGGGACTCTCCTGCCAGCTCCCTTGCCATCCTCTCCTGGTGCGCGCCCGCCAGCCCCGCCGGGCGCCTCCGGGCGGCCTCGCCCAGCTTCTTGCTAGCTGGGTCTGAATTGGGCTGGCCCAAGGCCTGACCTAATTGTCCCGTATATAATGAACAGTACCTCCTCCATGGAGGGGGACCCTTCCCCAAGTGGCTCTCAGCCACCACTAGACCCCATGGCTCAGCCGCCACTATACTCCGGCAGGGTGGCTTAGCCGCTACCCGCCGCCATACACCACCACTAGCACCAAGATGGTTCTCTCCAGCTATGGAGGACCATCTCAGATCTTCTAGATGATCTAACTTGACCGTCGGAGCCCGCTCCCGGGGCACAGTCCCTGGGACGGCTCTAACGACTTTGCACTGTGATGTCCAGATCTCCGCCGCAGCAGAAGACCAGAAGATCCGCCGGAGGTCGATGTTGCATCATTTGGCGCCATCCCGGACTTGAACAAGCAGCCATCACCTTGTTCTTCCTAGATCTGTTCAGATCTGTTGAGTTCCACATCAGGTTTTCTCAGATCTGTCCATTCTTATCCCTCATTTGATCAGATCCGTTCAGATCTGATTAGCCATCTTTTAGAACTCTCGATCTGATGTGTTTTCATTCAGATCCATAGATCTACTTCGTTTTTAGCTCAGATCTCCTGATCTACTTAGTGTTTTTGTTCAGATCTATGGATTTGCTTGGTTTCTTAGACCAGATCTTTGGATCTGTTCTAGTTTTGGTTCATTCAAAGATTTTTTGAGTTTACAAAGGCATTTCAGATCAGTTTCGTTTTTCTTTTCAGTGACCCATTCAGTAAGTTGGGGAGAAAAGAAATTTTTATCAAGTTCATATTATTAGACAATCGTTTTTTAGTTAAGATTTTTTATGTATAACCTTACTCCCAGCAACATTTGTTTGTAAACAAAGCTGGAATGCTTGTACATTTCAAAAAATCGAGTTCTTACTCACTTTTGTTCATATTTTTGGTGTTTTCCCTCACAAGCTTAAAGAAATTTTTTTTTCCAGATCTCTTCTTGTTCATATTTTGATGGTTTGATTGCACAAGCTGAAAAAAAGGAGGTTTTACAAGAAGAGATCCTTCTCAAATCCGTTTTTTCTTTTTTTTATATTCTGGTGTTTGTTTAGCAAGTCTAAGAAGAAGAGAAGTCTTTATCTCATTTTTAGTTTATGTGTTATAGAAAAAAGATTTTTGTTTAGACCTTCTGTAAAGAACTTCAATTCTTGAAACGTTTATTTGTACATACAGCCATATGGCTTGTACATTTTACAAAACCTTCAAAAAAAAAGAGAGAAGGGAGGAGAACTTTTCATGGGTTTTACTCAAATCTCAGTTCATACACCATTATTTTTGTTCAGATTGAAAAGAAAATCCTTGTTGAGCTAAGGATTGTCGTATTTTTCTTACCAATGTTAACAGTTGCTTGTAAGCATAGCTGTCATAATTGTACACTCCACAAGAGATAGCATTTTTACCTTAAAGATTTACTTTACCCTCTCCAAAATTTACTGCTCAATATAAAAAAAAGAGAGTAGAGATGAAGTATTGAAAGAAAGTACCCAGTAAAAAAAAAGAAGAGAGGGGATGGAAAAATGTAAATGGTTTTCACAAAAAAAGAGGGGAAAGAAGAAGATAAAAAGAGAAAAGTCGCTTTACAGTTTTACAGTTCGCATATATAAAAGTTGTATAGAATAATTATTACAAAATGGTCTTGATGCTCTTTGTCTCTCCTAAATCGACATCAAGAAAAAAGGAGGGGGTAAGGGTGCACAGTGCACCAGACTAATGACAAGACAAATGACAAATGATAGAGCTGTCTGTCTACAAAAGTCAGAAACAAAGGACCCCCATCTGGTCCAATCCCTTATGTACAGAAAAAAACAAAAGAGCCGGGACCCACCCATTCAACACACTTCCTCGGGCAGACAAAGAGATCCCCAAATCAAGACTTAGGCGCCCCTTCACCACCGTGACTCCAGCAGCACGCCTAAAGCTGGTCGCCATCGGTCCCAATGAAGCACACCTAGAAGCAGCTGCCTACCTTCAGCACAGGTGGCGAAGAATCTACAGCTCCGACGAACCTGCGCATACCGGGCCACTTGTTTCCTGCCTACGCCGAGTTCAGAACCAGCGATGCACCATCATTTACCATTGCAAACCCCGACGGTGGAAGCACCGCTGCCATCTCCGGCCATCCCAGTCACCACCTGTTGCTCCAATCGGATTCGATAAGCGGTGGCCTTCTAGCGGCACCGCAAATCAAGGTTGCCGGCAAAGCCCATCGCCACCTGTTACTTCCCACCATCATCGACTAGTAGATCGACGAACAACCGACAGTCGCTCTAGCTCCGACATCGACCACGACCCCCATTTCCCCACTTCATCGCTGGGAATCAGACCCACATCGTCGATCGCCTCCAGCCGACGAACTCGATGAAGCATCGCCAACAACGCGAACCACCGAAGCTGCAACACTCCGGTGAAGACCACCTGCAAACGACCGTGTTCAGCATTGTCTTCCTCTGCAGCCAACATTCTCCAGTGACGGAATCCGGCGAAGAGCAAACAAAGGATCATTAGGCCATGGGTTATCGGACCTCAGCACCCACCAGCATGCTCACCGATGTTCCAACGCTGCCCTATTGTCACCAGCGAGCCACTCCAAATCGCTGGTTGTCTCCAGCCAAGAACAATGTCGCCGGCGAAGTAAAGCCCTGATTTCCTTTCACAGCTGATTTCAGCCTATTGCTTCACCACCATCACTGTCAATCTATCAGCATAAGGTCCGATGCGACTTTTCATCTATGTGTCCAGTGAGCGCATAGTGGTTCCATCGTTTCACACAGATGACACAAAGAAATTAGGGCACTGGCCCACACCCCGCATGAAGCACCAACAATTTCACATGGGGCTGGTTATCTCTAATGGGCTGATTAATGAACAATGAATAAAATAAATAGGCTGACTCACATATTTATTGTGGGCCTCCAACTTTCAAATAAGCCGCAACAAATTACCTTGGGCTTTATCTAAGCATTTTTCATGAACCACCTTTTATTTGGGCTAATTCTACAAAGCAAGATTATCCACTCAACGCTCAAGTGCTGGGATCCGACTTTAGAAGAGGCTATAGTCAAACCCAGTTGAAGTAAAAAAAAAGGGAGGGGGAATAGTAGTGTATCACTACTACTCGTGAAGCGTTTTCGGAATAACCCTCAGCAACCGGCCGCCTGACTATTGGCAGCCGTGTCTCGCTACTCAGCCATCATCAGTCGTGTTGGCCAACATCTCGCAGTCGTGATGTCCAGCTCTCGGCAGCCGCACTACCCAGCTCTTGTCAACGCTTGCATTGCCTAGCTCTTTCCAGCAGCTATGTATCTCAGCTTTGAGCAGCTATACATCCATATTTTCCCTTTCTTCACCTCCTCTAAAGAAAAAAAAGGGGGGAATAGGGTTGGTACGACACTATGTAGAAGTGATTGTTATTCCCAAGGGAAAGAGTTAAAGCACATAAAGAACTGACACTACGCATGATGGTGCATCCCCAAGGTGACATCAATATTCTGAATCGAAAGAGTTGCCTCGCAATTCAACTCTCGGTAGTCTTGTTACCCAACTCTCAATAATCGTGTTGCTCACCTATCGCCAGCAGCTCGCTGCCCAGGCCTCAACGGCCCTGCTAACCAGTTCTTGACAGCAGTCTCGCTACGCACCTCTTAACAGTGGCTACACTATCGAGCTCTAGGTAGCACTGCCACATAGCTCTCCGCAAACAACCAAGACACCGAGGCATCAATTATTAGTATGACTAGAGATGCAGCAAAGCACCAGGTACCATTCCGCTTTAACTCAGACTGATCACACGAGCTAGACACATAGATTGTAGGGTGCTACGCCCAATCATGTGAGGTTCAGTACCCTCGCCTCGAGTCGCCTGACTTCTCAGCCCAACTCCATTATAGCGGCAAGCTCCGCATGCGAGGTTCAGTACCCTCGCCTCGAGTCGCCTGGCTTCTCAGCCCGGCTCCGTTATAGCGGCAAGCTCCGCATGCGAGGTTCAGTACCCTCGCCTCAAGTCGCCTGGCTTCTCAGCCCGGCTCCGCTATAGTGGCAAGCTCCGCATACGAGGTTCAGTACCCTCGCCTCGAGTCGCCTGGTTTCTCAGCCCGACTCCATTATAGCGGCAAGCTCTGCATGCGAGGTTCAATACCTTTGCCTCGAGTCGCCTGGCTTCTTAGCCCGACTCCAGTATAGCAACATGCCCCGACCATTCCACGCGACGCTCTCCCGTGCGATCTATCTACGATCACTAGCAGCCAAGCCCGATCCATTCCACGCGATGCTCTCCCGCGTAACATCTCCATGATCATTGGCTGCTAAGCCCAAGCCACTCTCCATCGTCGCGCACCATAAGTCACGCATCACAAGCTTATTCCACACCATGATCTTGGTGCTCCCTCCCTCACAGTCATCATGGTTCTCTTGTGCTCGGACGATCGATGAAGTGTTATCCACATTACAACCTGCCATAGTGAGGATACTCTCCAGCAAGAAGGTCATCCCGACAGCGGCCCTGCTACCTACGACCCCACAGCATCTCTGTTTCCTGGCTCTCGGAAACGGTCTTGCTGCGTAACCCGACCTGTAGCCTAGCCGCGTACCCCACAACATCTCTGTTTCCTGGCTCTCAGAAATGGTCTCGCTGTGCAACCCTACCTGTAGCCTCGTCGCGTATCCCATAGCACCTCTGTTTCCTGGCTCTCGGAAACGGTCTTGCTGTGCAACCCTACCTGTAGCCCCGCCGCGTACCCCACAACACCTCTGTTTCCTGGCTCTCGGAAACGGTCTTGCTATGCAACCCCAACCTATAGCCTCACTGCCTATCCCTCAACAATTCTATTGTCTGGCTATCGGCAATAGTATCACTGCGTGACCCTCGCTAGCAACCTAGTCGCCCAGCTCTCGGAATCTATTCCTCGCCTCCTCTAAGAAGGGGGGGGGGAGTAGGGTTGGTACGCCGCAATCCAGCTAGGTGTAGCCCGAGAAAGAAAGATCCTCAAGGTGGTTATTAATGCAGACTATGTAGATGGTTACTGGTGACATCCCATCTCGCATGGCTACCCCAACAATCACGTCGGATAACAGTCTCAGGGACTGAATGGCAAGCTTACGCTTCTTAGCTACCCCGGTCCGACATTTTATCGACATCAGTGTCGCGTAACACTCTTTAGCAACCTCGGTCCGCATGATCGCAACAACAGTTACGTTGCATCACACCGATTAGCTCGCACTCCTCTCAATGAAGGAGCATCAAGTCAGCTCAAGCCGCATAAGCAACGTTTGGCTCATCGCATAACCCCACGACTCTCGTAGGCGAGGTTCGGTCATTCTTTTTATTATTTAAATGCTTTGGTGCTTTATCTAGTCCGATCCGATTGTCAGCAACCCAATCGCATCAGACTAGGGGGACTTGACGACGCACAGTTTATATGACTAGTTCTAGTCCGATGTCATTGGCCGCGTACCAATAACACCAGACTGGGGGGACTTGATGATATATGGTCCATTAGCATGGCCCAGACGGCTCTAGCGCGCCAGCCTGGCCTGGCGCGCTCCTGCCAACCTTGTCGGGGACTCCCTTGCCAGCCTCGCTGGGGACTCCCCTGTTGGTTTATACGACTTAGTCCAGTCCGATGTCATTGGCCGCGTACCAATAACACCAGACTGGGGGGGACTTGATGATATATGGTCCATTGGCATGGCCTAGACTACTCTAGCGCGCCAGCCTGGCCTGGCGCGCTCCTGCCAGCCCTGCCTGGCGTTCTCCTGCCAGCCCTGCCTGGCGTTCCCTTGCCAGCCTTGCTGGGGACTCCCTTGCCAGCCCTGCTGGGGACTCTCCTGCCGGCTCGGCCAGGCGCTCCCTCGCCTGGCACTCCCTTGCCATCCTCTCCTGGTGCGCGCCCGCCAGCCCCGCCCGACGCCTCCAGGCGGCCTCGCCCAGCTCCTTGCTAGTTGGGCCTGAATTGGGCTGGCCCAAGGCCTGACCTAATTGTCCCCTATATAATGAACAGTACCTCCTCCATGGAGAGGGAACCTTCCCCAAGTGGCTCTCAGCCACCACTAGACCCCATGGCTCAGCCGCCACTATACTCCGGCAGGGTGGCTCAGCCGCCACCCGCCGCCATACACCACCACTAGAACCAAGATGGTTCTCTCCAGCTATGGAGGACCATCTCAGATCTTCTAGCTGGTCTAACTTGACCGTCGGAGCCCGCTCCCGGGGCACAGTCCCTGGGACGGCTCTAACCACTTTGCACTGTGATGTCCAGATCTCCGCCGCAGCAGAAGACCAGATGATCCGCCGGAGGTCGATGTCGCATCAGTAACTTATGGTTAGTAATTGGTAGTGACTTTTTATTTTCTTCTCATTTATATACATTTTATTCGTATTAGTAATATATAAATAAGTTTTCTCACAAACAATCACGTGTTTTAAGATATTTTTAATTAAAATATGAAGAGTTGAAAAAAAAGAGTGTTTTGCCGCATCATGGTTATTACTATGCGGATTTTTCTTGAAACAATAAGTATTATTTCATAATTAGTTTAATGTAATTAATAATTTTTTTGTATGCCTTAAAGGCATCAAATATGCTATAATGAGTTTTTATATCATGTTCGTATAAATATAATTATTTCAAAGTTAATAATAGCAATATTATTATTTTAATAACGTGTACGTATGTATGTGTCTCTCTGTGTGTTTGTGTGTGTGTGTGTATATATATATATATATATATATATATATATATATATATATATATATATATATAAGATATATGTCTTCTATATATTTTTTGTATGATTTATCAGTGTTTTATAAGGTTTTTTTTGTTACAAATGTTATAGTAGACATTGTAGTGTTTTTATGTTATTAAAAGTTATAGTATTTATGTTTTTCATATATTTGTTGTTAATTAAATACATAAATTAACATACAATTTATATACACTTTACAAACCTTCAAATGGTCAATAAAATCATCAAATATTTATTTTTTATACTATTTGTTATTCGTTATATATAGAAATCAATATATGTTTTATATACATTTATTAACATTGTTTTTTCATTTATAAATATTAAATCACAATTTATAGAATTAGGAGAATGATTAAATAATTGTGTGGATGTGTGTGTTTCCCGTTAAAAAAAACTATATAAATATATTCTCGCGCAACGCGCGGGGATTTGTCTACTTATACTATATTATAAAGGAATCATTTTTTTCTTTCACTACATTCATTTGAAACTCCCAACTTTTCATATTTCCATACAATATGTTTAATTTATTAACTTAAATATGCTTTTAGTTCTAAACATTATCATAAATTGAAGAATTTGTGACTTATCAATATGATATACTTAATTTGTTAACTTCAATACATAGTTTAATAAATAACCTACATTAATATATCAAATAAGCTTAAAAATTTAGTGTAAAATTTAAAACCTAAAGTAAAATATCAAATAATGTTTAAAAAAAATTCAATATATATTTTTTAACATAGTTAAAAGGAAAACATTAAATATAATAATAATAAAAGAACCTAAATTGATTAATCGAATTAACTAAAAGGTGTCTGAAAACTATATTCTAACAATATATTTTTAACATGCGTCTCGCAACGCGCGCGAATTCGTCTAGTTTAATTAATATTATGATGCGTTTAATAAAAAAACAACAACCATAAAATGCCATGTGGAATAAAATTTAATTGAAAATAACCATAAAATGACATGTCGCCAAATCAATGAGAGTGTGACATGTGGCAAAAAGATTTTTATTTATTAGAGTAGATTTATTGTAATTATTATATTTAAATATTATGTTAAATTTAATAAAATGGAAAAAACCACAAAATGTCATGTGGAAAAAATTTAATTGAAAAAAACTCAAAATGACATGTGGCAAAATCCATAAGAGTGTGACATGTGACAAAAAGATTTTCATTTATTAGTGTGGATTGTTTTTATTATTTTGAATAGGTGTAAGACTCATGTATTACATGAGTTAATTAAAAAAATTAAATATAAATGTCTAAATATCTGAGAACTTTGGATTTATAAGAAAATAAGAAAAATAATGAATTATTAAAATTGATTTTTTTTATCTTTTAAATTTAAATAAATAAACAAAATAAATTAATAAGCTTTAATTTGAGAATTACGAAATAAGAAGATAAGTCCATTAATGAAATTGATATTCATTTATTACTATATTTATTGTAATTATTACATTAAAGTATTATGTAAAATTTATTAAAATAGAAAACCCATAAAATGATGTGAAAAAAAATTAATTCAAAATAACCACAAAAAAGACATTTGACAAATTGAATGAAAGTGTGATATGTGGAAAAAAAACTTTCATTTATTAGAATAGATTCTAGAATAAATCACATACATGTTTCTTATGGATTACAGAGTTTACTCTTTGATGATTCTCATTTAATAGAAAATGGTCTGGTCTTAATTTTTTGACGGGTTGTTCTGTAAAATAAGAGTTAGCATGGTGCGGTATGGTGCGGTTTTAGCCTAAAACCGCAACTCATACCTCTGGCTGCGGTTTTAGCCTAAACCATATAAAATGTGTATTTTGTCATTTTCTAATATTATTTTTTATCAATATCTTTTACTTTTAATTTTTTTTATAAATATTAAATTGTAAACCCGTTCTACCCGTATGCACATCCTTCTTCTCCGTCTTCCAATCTCCTCCCCATCACCATCGATGTTCCTCTTCCTTGCCTTTTTCGTCACCCTTCCTCACCAGCGAAACCCAAAATCAATTTAATACCTTCAGCTTCAAGTCCTCAAAATAATGTTTCCACAAGCAAGTAAAGCTTAGGGAGGTTCGATTTAGTTGTGAAGGATGTGAAGAACTTTGCCGAAAAGTATCACGGAACTACACACGAGAGGCCAAGGCAAATGCATAATGTTCTACAACAAGTTGCAATCTTTACATACCTTAATTGTTTCTAATTAGCAAGTTTATTGTCTCAAGTATAATATGGAATGATAAAAAATATGACGACGTCGACGATGGAGGTTGTGCTTCCAATGAATCTCATTCAGTAAAAACTCTTAGGTTGCGTTTAGTTACAGAAAAACAGTTTTCATTTTCTGTTTTTCGTTTTCCCTTTTAAGTTTTCGTTTTCGGTTTTCGGTTTTCATTGGAAAATTTAGAAAACGCGTTTAGTTAAAACTTATTCATTTTTCATTTTCAGTTTTAGAAAATTAGAGAACGTGTTTAGATGTGTATTTTTCTGTCGGTTTTCATTTTTAGAAAACGGTAGCGGTGGTAGAGTGGGCGTGGGGACGGTGGGTGGGTGTGTGTGTTTGTGCGGGTGTGGGTGGGTGTGTGTTTTGTGGGGGTGGGAGTGGGTGTGTGTGTGTTTGGGGGGTTGGTGTGTGTGTGTGTTTGTGGGGGTAGGCTTGGGAGTGAGTGTAGGTAGGTAGGGGTGTAGTGGGTTGGGGGTGTTAAGGTGAGGGTAGGTAGATGTGGATGGGGTGGGAGTGTGTGTTTATATTTTAGAAAAATTTTGAAATTAGAAAAATGTGGAAAACAATGATTATCGGTTTTCCAAAAATTTCCAACTTCTTTGTAATTTTAGAAAACGGAAAATTTTCATTTTCCGTGAAAAATTTAGAAAAATAGACGAACTAAGCGCGTTTTCAAAATTCTCATTTTTCTTGGAAATTTTTTCCAAAAATCGGCCCATTTTTCCGCAAAACCCTTAATCTTTTCCAACTTCAACAAACAATTTGACGCATACCAGACCTTCATATCGAAACCTTTGCTAAATCCATCTTGTGAAGGTCCAGGGATTTCAGGGTGGCCTCAGTTCACCCAAAATTAGAGAAATATGGAAAAGGGGAAACCAATGAGATGTCAACAGCAATGGATGTAATCATATAAGGTTGAGAAGACCAGCTTCTCTGCAAACGAGTCCAACCAGGTGTCAATTCTTATGAAAAATTGGATTTACAATCTGTTGATATGCATTCAAACTGGATTTATCTTATGGCATCAACGCCAGGGTATTATCTCTTTTATTTCTTTTACTATACTAGAATAAGAATTCTTTTTACATCTTCGAATTTGATGAATTATCCATAATACAAAGAAAACGATTTGAAATCTCAAAGCATCATTTGTTTGAATTCATCAAAGTTGAGAACTCCATCACCATTGAGATCAAATCGATTTATCATACCAACACACTCATCCAAACTTCTGGACTCACCGAGTCGATTCAGCATCCGGTTTAAGCTCTTGGGAGTGATGCAATCAGTCCCATCCATTTGATACATTCTGAAAGCTTTCCTCAAGTCCTCAAGCTTCTCTTCTTCCTTTGCGCTTTCCATTAATCCAACAAAATCTTCAAACCCTAACTGTCCATTGTTTCCTTGTGACGATTTCACAGCAACTTCTACCTCTTCAAGTAAAATTCCAACGTTCCAGATCAACCCAATGCAGTGTTGCAGCTCTGATGGAGAGATCATACCATCTCCATCTATATCGATGTGATTGAATACGCGTTGGTATTCACTAGATTTGTTCATAATTCTGGAGAAGTGGTGAGTGATTTTCTGTTCAAGGAGTAGTTGGAAAAAACTTAATATGAAGAATTGATGGTGTTGATAGAATTGTAGAATGCGTTATATAGATACTCATTATACGCGTTGTTGCCAGAAATTTCGAATTGAATTTGTTACTGAGACGAAACGAAAACCCAATTGCGGGTTAAATTTCAAGCGGTTTCTCCACGGATTTTATGCTTGGGACGAAGCTGAAAGGAAATTGCAGAATTATTGCATTTAGTCATCAAAGCTTCAATTATTACATTTATTTCAATCTTTAATTTTTTGTAGAATAAACTATTAAAAGGAGGATTGAGTTTATTATATATAAATTTTGAAGAATATTGTTTTTCACGTTTTAATTTGTATGATCGAGATGCACAACTCTTCCAGGAACATCCAAAAAGGTATAATTTAGTCTTATTTTCTATTGTTAACTGTAGAATAATAATATTAAATATTTTACAACCCATTATAAGAATTGTATAGGAAATGTTGTATTTGGCCCCTAATTAATTTATATTAATACTTTAAGTTCAACATTTGAGAATTATAACTTCAAAATTTTGAGTTCTGTGTTTTTATTAGTTAATTTAAAAAAAAAAAGAAAAAAATAGTTAGAATATATTAGTGCTAGAAAGAAGTTTGAAAAAAAAAAAACAATTACAAAGATAAAGCCATTAAGGGGTTTTCCATCCAATCGCTCCAAAATAAACCTTAAACTTTATCTCGTTTCTGTTAACAAATCATAAAAAAAAAATAATCTATTATACTCGAGAATTGAAGTTTATCACCAATCATCATCTTGTTTTTAAACCGACAAAATTGCACAAATAGTTCATATGCTCCGTTGAAAATTGCCACTTTGGTCCAAAATTTTTTGGACTAGCACCATAGGTCCAAAGTTTTCATTTTGTTGCGAGTTTGGTCCAATTTACTTTAAAATTTTTTGTAATGACGATTTTACCCTTTTTTTTTCAGCTTTTTTATTTATTTAAATATTTTCATAATTAAAAGAAAAATATAATAAAACAAATAATTCTCTCCCTCTCTCACTCACTCACTCTCTCTCTCTCTCTCTCTCACACACACACACACTCTCTCTCTTTCTATTTATTTTTTTTAATTACAATAACTAAAAAAGGATAAAAGAAAAATCTATTTGTATTATCACCCCCACACCATATTTTTATTCTCTTTCCCATTCAGAAAAAGGATACACCACCAAATTCCGACGGCTATTCCGGTGACCAACTTTTCCGGCAACAAAAGGATTCTATCACCGGAGACTTTTTTTTGACAGCAAACCAGAGGGATCCGACAACTAGAAGGTTTTAAGAATATGGGATTGGTTTCGAAGACAAAGATCGGCGGAGGTTTTCAGAAACAAGCAACCAATCACCGGAGCGAATGAGTCTAGATCTGTCTATCATGTTCATCGTATTCCGATAGCGGTGGTTAGATTGACGTTAGTGGTGACACATAGATCGAAGCAAGGGTTTGCTAGGGTTGTGGAGGCGGCGGCGCTGGAGTTTATATACAGATGTTGGCCTCGTCTAGCTTCACCTCTTCATCATCATTCTTGCTTCATCACAGAGGTGGAATAAACTCGAGCCACCGACGGAGGTAACTTAAAGTCGGTGACGAACGACCTTAGGGTTCCGGAGTCGACGACGACGCTAATAGTGACAATCAAGGATTCAACGGCGACATTGGAAAGCCAAACAACACAGATACGGATCGTAGATCCGACGTCTAATGTTCAGATCTTCGTCATCGATGGTGATTTGGATGGTCTGACAGGTGGTTCATAACAGTAGAAGGGAGAGAAAAAGAGAGAGATGGCCATCGTAGCAGCAGAAAGAAAGAAGAATGATGGTCTCTGGAGGTTCAGATCTTAGTTTTTTTTTCTCCGGCGAAGTCGGCGCCGGATAGTTCTAGGGTTCCGACGTCGGCGGTGGTTTTAGTGGTTGGACGACGGTACTCCGGCAGCCACCGGAATCTGGTGGTGTTTCCTTTTTCTGAATGGGAGAGAGAAAAATATGGGGTGGGGGTGATAATACAAATATATATATATATATATATATATATATATATATATATATATATACATATATATATATATATATATATTTTCCTTTTTTAGTTTTTGTAATTTAAAAAATAAATAAAAAATGAAAATACAAAGGGCAAAATCGTCATTTTATAAAAATTCAAAACAGATTAGACTAAACTCGCAACAAAATGAAAACTTTGGACCTATGGTGCTAGTCCAAACCTTTTTGGACCAAAGTGACAATTTTCGACATACCATAGGGACCATTTGTGCAGTTTTGTCTTTTAAACCTCTATATCACCCAAACTACCACTCCTAAAATAGCCTTGAGAGCCAATTAGGTCATCAAACCAACCCTAAACATCACACAACTTGTTTATAAGAGTAGTAACATCAACCCAATTAAAAACTTTGACCAAACAACGACAACTAAATGACAACCACTGAACATGATCTATCTTTTTCGGAAGAAACATGCAAACATGGCACATGAGTGTCTTAAGATCCATACACAAGTATAACAATCAACATAGGCTACACAAAATACGACCACATTGACATTTAGTTGTTGTATCAATTGAAAAAATGTGGCCGTATCATAAAAGTGCAGCTAAAAAGAACCAATATTTCTTTTTGTAATCAAGTATTCATGTAACTTTTGGGCACCATGTATTTTTCTTTTTGACCCAAAAGACAATGGTTAGCTTCCCTTTTCAATCAACACATAACATTTCATCTTTTATCTATTCTTCAAGTTTCCCACACTTCCCTTCTAAGCCAGCTAGATAAAGCTCCACTTAATAACATGAAGAGGGGTTGTCCCACTCGAGGCATGTCCAATGAGTACTTGTGCTACAAACTCTTTTCTAACTTCAACAACCAATTTGATGCAAATCAGATCTTCATATTGAAACCTTTGCTAAACCATCTTGTTAAGCATATAAGGTTGAGAAGACAACTTAAACGTACGCTACTCTACAAACCAGTCCACCAGGTGTCCATTCTTATGAAAAAATTGATTTAAAATATGTTGATATGCATTCAAACTGGATTTATTTTATGGCATCAACACCTGGTGTATTATCTATTTTATTTCTTTTACTATACTTGAATAAGAATTCTGAATTCATTTTTACATCTTCCAAATGGATGGATTCCATAATACAAGAATGTGAAATTAGATGAAACGATTCGAAATCTCAAAGCATCATTTGTTTGAATTCATCAAAGTTGAGAACTCCATCACCATTGAGATCAAATCGATTAATCATCCCAACACATTCATCCACACTTCTCGACTCACAGAGTCGATTCAGCATCCTGTTTAAGCTTTTTGGAGTGATGCAATCGGTCCCATCCATTTCATACATTCTGAAAGCTTTCCTCAAGTCCTCAAGCTTCTCTTCTTCCTTTGCGCTTTCCATTAAACCAACAAAATCTTCAAACCCTAATTGTCCGTTGTTTCCCTGTGACAATTCCACAGCAACTTCAACCTCTTCGAGTAAAATTCCTTGGTTCCAGATCAATCCGATGCAGCGTTGCAGCTCTGATGGAGAGATCATACCATTTCCATCTATATCGATGTGATTGAATACACGTCTGTATTCACTAGATTTGTTCATGATTTCAGAGACCTGTTGAGTGATGTTCTGGTTTAGGAGTTGGAAGAAACTGAAGTAAAATAATTAATATGAAATCGATGGTGTTGATAGAATTGTAGAAAGCGTTATATAGATACTCATTATACGCGTTGATGCAGAAATTTTTGAATTCAATTTGATACTGAGACGAAACGAAATCCAATTGCGGGTTAAATTTTAAGCGGTTTCTCCACGGATTTGATGCCTTAGGACGAAGCTGCAAGGCAATTGTAGAAATATTGTTTCACCACGAAACTTCAAAGCTTCGATTATCACATTTATTCCGTTTTTTCTTTAAATCTTTCAATATATATATTTTTTAGAATAGATTATTAAAAGGAAAGCGAGTATATTATTTATGAATATGAATTCAAAAATTATTGTTTTTCACGTTTTAATTTGTATTTTTCATAAGCTTGGCTATTTTCTCGGTATAAATCATAATAAACTCATATATTGAAAATAAGCTTATAAAAAATAAATTCAAAAAATAAACACTTAATAAGCCAAAAAAACATTTATTTTTTATTTTCTATTGTCAAGTATGAAATAATAATTTTAAAATTCTTATAACTGATTATAAAATTTTTGTAGGAAATATTTTTATCTAATCACTAACTAATTATCCTCTTTCTAGATCGAAACTTTCCTTGTCTTCTGTGGAGTTGCCCGAGTTTTATTTTAGGGTATGCCAAATAATATACAAAATATGAACGAGTGGCAAAATTCTTCAAACGATAATAAAATGTAAATATATATGCATTTTTAACTAAATAGTTTATTTAAGTTGCACACGATGTTGTCTTACATCATTAAAATAATCTAAAATGGAGTCTGATCGACGTAGACAAGAATATAGTTTATTATATTAATTTCAAGTTTTGAATGAAATAGGCAATATCACAGCCCTAATTTCTTTTATTTAACAAGAATATATATTATACATATCGTATATATGTAACCTTAATTTTGTGTGGGTGGGCCAAGACCCACTCTTGCCCTATATTGGCTACGCCCCTGCTTGCCTTCGAAGCCTATCTCCACCATAACCTCTTTCTCCTAGCTCTAGCTATCGAAATATTAGCATTTTTTTAACAGCAACAAAATTATATATAACCAAAAAAAGGTTAGCTAGAGGTCAGCAAAGAACAAACAAAGTTAAGGCAAGATAGGAAGAAGTAACCATGCAATCCAGTTATTGCTAGCCTTAGACTTTCTACACGAAAACCAATGAAAAGACATATCGACGATATTGTCTAAATTAAATTGTTTCCTAGAAGGGCAAA